TCATATGAGGGGTCACACTAAGGAAAATTGCTATAAACTAGTTGGATATCCACCAGATTTCAAGTCCAAAAAGAGAGGAGGAGCAGCTGGAACTAGTAATTCCTATGTAAATCAAGCTGGCTGGATGACTCCTCTTACAGGAGATGCAACATGTGGAGTCAATGGTGCAGCCAACAATATTGGAAAACTTGAGCAACAACCACTTGTCAGGGAAGGTTTTACCTCTATGGCATTACCAGTAGCTCAGCAACAAGCTCCTGCAGCTTTCTTCACACTAGAGCAGTAGATCATTCAAATGTTTAACAAGGGATCAGATGAAGGATCCTCAACCAAATCAGCAGTTGTAGGTACAAAAATGGATCTTATGTCCATCTATAGTGATAAATAATGGATTGTGGACACAGGTGCCTCTAACCATATGGCCTCTAGCTTACAAATGCTAAAGGCATACAGGTTAGTACCAAAATTAGACAGGAGCAATGTACATATACCTATAGGAAATGTAGTATCAGTTACACACACAAGATTGGCCTCTGTTTTTAAGAACCAAGACATATCTAATATGTTGCACATACCTGAGTTTAAGTTCAATCTTATCTCAGTATCCAAACTTATTAAAGGGCTAAAATGCTTGGTAATGTTCTTTCTTGACTTCTACATCTTCCAGGATCTCTGCAATGGAAAGGTGAAGGGGATTGGTAGAGAGAAACATGGACTATTTGTGTTGCAGGAGAAGCAAGTGAAGGCCTCATGTCAGGTTTCTAGACAACAAGTGAATAATAACACCAGCACAGGTTCTATGAATAAGTCTAGTCATGCTCACATGTCTGCTACATTAGATACTAGTATCCTATGGCATAAGAGACTAGGTCATGAACCATTAGAAGTAATAAAGAAGTATGAGTTGCTTAGACATTTAAAATCTGATACTCATCATCATCGTACTATCTATCCTCTTGCAAAACAAACAAAGTTGCCTTTTCAGCTGAGTAATATTGTGTCTGCCTCTGCTTTTGATTTACTGCATTGTGATATTTGGGGACCCTATGGAGTTCCTACCTATGATGGTAAAAGATTTTTTTGTCACAATAGTAAATGACTACACTAGGTTCACTTGGACCTTTCTTATGCACTCAAAGTCTAACACTAGTAGTTCTCAAGGAACCTTTTGCTAAGATTAAAAATATATTCAGTGGTACTGTTAAGATACTCAAAACAGACAATGGCAGTAAGTTTTTTAGCACTGACTTCAAGGAATTTCTATCTATTATTGGCATTGAACACCAAAGTACATGTGTGGACACTCCCCATCAGAATGGAGTAGCAGAAAGGAAACACAGAACTATCCTTGAAATAGCCGGAGCTTTGAGGTTCTAGGCAGGCATTCCCTTTAAATTTTGGGGTGAATGTGTCAACACTGATGTCTATCTACTGAATAGGCTGCCATCAAGAGTCATCAACTTCAAATTCCCATTTAAGATGCTTTATTTGCATGCTCCCACTCAAAGTCATCTAAAAGTAGTTGGTTGTCTTTGCTATGCAATTGTCCCTAAGTGTATGAATAAGTTTGCTTCTAAAGCTATCCCAGCAGTACTTCTGGGCTATTCTTCTGCACAAAAGGGATACAAACTGTATGATCTCCAAAACAAGACTCTTTTAGTAAGCAGAAATATGGTGTTCAATGAGGATGTCTTTCCTTTTAAACATGTAAAGTCTGCAGGCACACTTATATTTCCAGTTCTGGACTTGTTACCATCAGATGATTCTACTATAGAGATGTCTCAAACTCTCACTTCTCAGTCCAATCATATAGATGCTTCAACTAAGGGGGATGCTTCATCATCTCCTCAGGTTCCTAAAGCCCAAGCTTATGCAGAATTTACCTCATATTCCCCTGCATGTGTCAATCCTTTATCTGAACCATCCAACTCTATGGAGCTCAAAAAATCTAGTAGACCAAGCAAACCACCAGTATGGCTGTAGGATTATGCCACTAAACCAGTTGGCAACTCTTGTGCATATCCTATTTTTCCTATGTCACTTACTCACATCTGAAGACACCTTATCAGCACATGTTGGCTCTTTACTCAGCTGTATCTGAACCCAAGACTTTCAGATAGGCTGTTTCTGATTCTAAATGGGTGCAGACAATGAAGCAGGAAGTTGCAGCACTTGAAAACAATAACACTTGGACCATTATAGACTTGCCACCTGGAAAGACTCTCATTGGCTGTAAGTGGATATTCAAAATTAAATATAAAGCTTCAGAAAAGGTTTAAAGATATAAGGTCAGGTTAGTGCCCAAAAGATACACCCAGAAAGAGAGTCTACATTGCTGAGACCTTCTCCCCTGTGGCTAAGATGGTGACTGCTAGGTCTATCATTGCTTTGGTTGCCTCTAAACACTGGTTGATCTACCAAATGGATGTCCATAATGCACTCCTTAATGGTGATCTCCTTGATGAGGTTCACATGCATATTCCTAAAGGTTTTTGCAGACAGGGGGAGACAAAGAAGGTCTTCAAATTGCACAAATCACTATATGCCCTCAAACAAGTCCGAAGGCAGTGAAACTAACTAAAGCCCTGGTGAAGATGGGATTCAAGTAGAGCCACTTTAACTACTCTCTGTTCACTAAAATAATAGATGATGACATTGTGGTTTTCCTAGTGTATATAGATGATTTACTAATTACTGGCACCAATCTCAATCAACTAAATGAGACAAGAAATGATCTGCAGACCAGGTTCAAGATGAAAGATCATGGTGAGTTGAAGTTCTTTCTGGGGATTGAATTTTCCAGGTCTAAGGAAGGCATAGTGATAAATCAGAGGAAGTATATCATGGAACTAATCTCTGAATTTGGCCTAGGTAGAGCAAAACCTGCTGGAACCCCTCTTGAAATGAATCAGAAACTAACTTCAGCAGAGTATGGCAGTTGGATAAAAACTAATGGTGAAGATGAGGTGTTAAATGATCCTAGTAGCTTTCAAAAGTTAGTTAGAAGACTATTATATCTCACAATGACCAGACCTCACCTATCTTTTGCACTGCAAGTTCTCAGTTAATTTATGCATTGTCTAAAGGTGTCATACATGGAAGTTGCTTGGTGAGGTACATCAAAGGTGAACCTGGACTTGGCCTTCTAATGCCTGCTGACAACACAAATAAACTGACAGCCTATTGTGACTGAGACTAGAAAGCTTGCCTACAAATAAGAAGATCAGTCACTGGCTACTTAGTCAGGTTTGGGAATGCCATGGTGTCATGGACGTCTAAGAAACAAGAGATTGCCTCCAGGAGTTCAGCAGAAGCTGAATTCAGAAGCATAGCTACCTGTACAGCTGAAGTAACCTGGTTGATAGGGCTGTTTGAAGAACTTGGTGTGAAGTTAGAACTACTTGTTGATCTCTTATGTGACAGCAAGACAACTATTCAAATTACTACCAACCTAATCTTTCATGAAAGGACTAAACACATAGACATATATTGTCACTTTGTTAGGGAAAGAATCCTACAAGGAGTGATGAGAATTGAGCATGTACCTACCAATGAATAGGTAGTTGATCTGTTAACTAAAAGCTTGGATAAGGTGCAGCATGATTACCTACTGGAGAAACTTGGGCTGAAGAACTTGTTCAAGCCATCAGCTCGAGGGGGAGTGTAGACGAGTGGTGAGCTAGTGGAAGCGGTGGTTGTAGAACACATGTAATATTAAGTATTATTTGTATAGTCGGTTAGTTTGTTAGGCAGTTAATACTATAGAAAGGTAATTAGCACTATATAAGGTGTTAGTGTATAAATAGACTTTGTACAGATGCATTTCATTTTCTTAGAAGAAGATGATGGAAGTCTTTCATTTCTCTCAAAATTTCTCTCTATAAACTTCTCTCGTCTTCTTCCCCATTCATCCTCACAACTGAAGCTCCAGCTATGGATGTTATCAAATACAAAATTTGGACCAAAACTACTGAATTCGGCCGAACCCACGTCCGAAGCTCTAGCTCCGCCCCTGCCGTGAAGGCCGTATATGGATTGGATTTAGAACAAAGTTGTATTTGATAATGGGCCATCTTTGATTAACAGCTTAGAAGTCCAACAACCAAAATCTAGAAAAGAAAAGATACTGGCCCTAATCGTGCAAACTTCATAATACAAGTTTTCTTTTTCAAAATACAATTATACTACAAGTTTGGTTGCAGCTGATACGCAGTCTTCTGTTTTTGTGAAAATAACGGACCATTTCTCAATTTTGTATGTACATCGTTTATCGTTTCAGTTTCAAAGGATGTTCCGATATTGTTGACATTTCAAAATATTATTGCAATATATGTATGATAAGTAGTTGACAAATGGATAAATTAAGGCATAGCCAGTCATAAGTGATTAAGTAATTGTGATATTATACTACACATCAAGTATGATTAATCTTGTCATAATATTCAATTTTGTACCATTTTTTTTTTCGGTTACATATCAAGTATGGTTGTCGTCAATTAATGTTAGCTACTGACTATTACGAATATACCAAAGCTGATGCCTTGAAGAAATACAAGCACCGAGAGTACAACTAAAAGAAAAGGAAAAACAACTTTGACATTTTGAAGAAATATTTTTCCACCAAAAAAGAAAAATAGCTTCAATCTTACATTTGTAAGCCCAAGTCATTTTTTTTAAAACTAAAATCTTAATTTTTACTCTATATTACTTACTTTAACCATTGGTGTTTATAATACTCAAAAGTATCAATAACTATCATCGTATGTATCCTCCATCGTCTGAAATATGATAATCAAGTTTCATAATTTTTTTCACTTCCAAATGATGAAGATTCACTGATCTTCATCATGTATGTTTCCGAAAAACTTCAAAAGCCCATGTCAAGAGATAACTTAAAGGAAACTACACCATATAGCTGCTCTAAAAATAATAACCGGCAAAAAAAAATATATATATATATAGAGAGAGAGAGAGAGAAATTTACATCATGATGGACAGGATAACAGTAACATATAAAAGCCACACTTATTTATTATCTTCAAATAATAGAATACATTAACCATACGGCTCCAATTTATTTTCTTGGGGTTAGCTAGTAGATTTACTTAAACATTCGATGTGGGTAAATATTTTTTTCCTTAACCAACCCGAGGAGTTTGTACAACAAAGTCCAACACATTAACCCAAAGACGAACTCGATCACATCTAAAATCTTGTGTCACAAATCTCCCATTCAGTACAGTTTGAACATTAGTTAGTGTTGGTTCTTCCTTTTGAATTGTTTCCCTTGCTAACTTGGCTGGTACTCCAAGAAGTTCTGGCCACGTGTCCTTTTTCACTCCTATAATTTACACATAATGAGAGACAGAGAGAGATATATTATGAATGCACTCCTTAAATAACCCGGTACGAAGCATGCTAAATTCACGCGGGGTCGGAGAAAGGATCGTACTCTAAGGGGTCAGGTGTATATGTGATGTGGGCAGCCTACCTTGATGCAAGATCAGTGGCTGATTTCACGGCTCGAACCTGTAACCTATAGATCACACGGAGACAATTTTACCATTGCTCCAAGGATCCCAAGGGGTGTACATGTAATGGGGGCAGCCTATCCTGATAAAAGCATTAGTAGCTGATTTCATGGCTCGAACCCGTAACCTATAGGTCACACGGAGACAATTTTACTGTTGCTCCTAGGCTCCCCAAGGGGTGTACATGTGATGAGGGTAGCCTACCCTGATGCACGCATCATTGGTTGATTCCACGGCTCGAACCCGTAATATATAGGTATCACAGAGACAACTTTGCTAACCATTCTCCTTCCACAATTATATATAAACTTCATAAGAAAAGAAGGAGCCAATTACTTAAATGGTCACTCAACTATCTCAAATTATCTCCTAAAGTCACTTTACTTTTGTTTGTAACAACAAAGTCACTGAACTATGTCTATTGCACTCGGAAGGTCACTCAACTAGATTTTCCAAATTTTGAATTGTCAAATACCTATTTTACCCTCTAAATTATAAATATTTATCTACTTTTATTTTTTTTTAACTTTTTAATTTATATTATGAACTTACCTATAGAATAAAAAAAATATTATTTATAAATTAAAAAGTAAAAAGTATTTGAGCATCTATAATGCTAGAATAACAAAATAATGAGCATAGTAAAAGAATTAATTAGAATAAGTTATTCATAATAATAATTTCAGTATTAACAAAAAAAATCAAACATCTATTTACACAACTCAGAATGAAAAAAATAAATGTTATAAAATATATATTCCATGCACCTAATATAAAAATAATTATTTAAATAAAAGTATTTTTATAATATACATTATATATTCTTGAAAATTATGTTCAATTATATTATATATATTCCATGCACGACTTAACATAGCATATTTTACCCTATACAGATAGTCCCTCTGCTTTCCGGTGATATAACTTTGTGCCGTCGGAAAGTTGATAGAAAAACATAATAATATAATTGAGTTTAAATTTCAAGAATATATAATGTATATTATAAAAATACCTTTATTTAAATAATTATTTTTATATTACGTGCATAGAATATATATTTTACAACCTTTATTTTCTTTCATTCTGAATTGTGTAAATAAATTTTGAATTTTTGTTGTTAATACTAAAGTTACTATTACTAACAAATTATTCTAATTATTTTTTTTTACTATGCTCAGTATTTTGTTAGTCCAGCATTATATATGCTAAAATACTTTTTTTAATTTATAAATAATATTTATTTATTCTATAGGTAAGTCCATAATATAAATTAAAAATGGAAAATTATAATATTAAAAACTTTTAGAAAAATAAAAAGAAAACAAATATTTATAATTTAGAGGGTAAAATAGGTATTTAGCAATCCAAAATTTAATAAATCTAGTTAAGTGACCTTCTGAGTGCAATATGCATAGTTTAATGACTTTGTTATTACAAACAAAAATAAAGTGATTTTAGGAGATAATTTGGGACAGTTGAGTGACCATTTGAGTAATGAACTCGAAAAGAAGCTAGGCAAAATAATATTGGAAGAAGAAGGAGACAAAAGAGTAAAAACCAAACCTGGGCAACCATCGGACTGAGACATGAGAGGTTGAAAGACTGTTCAAAGAATAATGTACATAAGTTTTCCTTTTTATCAATAAACATAAATACATGTGAAAAACAAAAAAAATAAAAATAAAACAGTTGAAATAAATGTAAGCATATAGGAGTAGGAAAAGAACTAACGAGATGCAAGAAGCAAGAAAGCAACCACGTGAGCTAACTTCTCCATAGTCTTTTGTCTAATTATTTTTCTAATTGCTTTGAAGAATTGAGATTAAGGAAACAAAGTTGTGATGTGTAGGATTATTCATTTGGATTTATAGGGATATTTATAGTAGAGTTTTTGCCTCAATTACATGAACTTTTCCTCGAAGCAACCATTAATTTAATTTTAAAGATAAACTTGATGAGTTGTAAATGACTTGCTCTTATTTTTGTTGACTTTTAGCATCATCAATTGATTGTTCTTGTATTATTATACTAAATTATGTTTCGGAATTGAATGATTTAACATTTTCATGTAGATATCAATCAAAAGCAACATTGTGGATGATACTAATTAACTAGTCAGTATTAAGATTTAATTGTGAGAGTATGTTTATAGCTAACTTAGATTTGAACGTATTTACTATTGTTGAATGCTTTACAAAATCATTTACCTTCTTTTTTTAAAAAAAAAAAATATTAATGTTCATCTTTTTAGAAATAATTAAGTACTTTAAAGTAAGAAGAAGAAATAACACGGGTGACAACTGACAACTCCTTTCGCTAACCTATGCCGTGTGATAAGATACGAATTTCAAAGTCAAATTGCAACAAATAATAATAATAACAATAATAATAATTTAAATTATTAAATTGAGAGATGCGTGTTCTCTATGCAACCATACTATATTAATTTATTGTTAAAATTAAGCTTGACGACAAATTATAATGGGTCTTTAATGCAGTCAAACTTCTCTATAACAGTCATCCTCTATCAGAAGTGGATCTAGGATTTCAAGAAAATTGGTGCACTGTTACAAAAAGGTGAATATAAATTTATATTTGGCGGGTTCAACCTTTAGGTAGATTAAAACAAAAAAAATTCTTGCAATATTGGTAACTTTTAACATATATACCTATTCTCCATTTAAAAAATGCTAGGATAATTAAACCATGTTGCATCATCCACTGCTATTAGTTTTAAGAAGAATTAACCTGTTTTTGTGTGTGTGTCTATATGTAATCGTATAAAATTAATGTATAAATAATATATATAGCTAGAAAAAGTAAATAATAAATATGGCCGGCTGTTTGCGTAAAGATCCCTAGTTTTAATAGGATAAAATTTTGCAATGACAAAGAGAGATCAAGGATTTCAATGTGCTAGATGTGGGAATTTGGATTGAACAAACCAAATAAAAGGAATATATAATTAAAACACAAGAGGGGACACTATAAATGCCTACAAACCGAGATTTGAACCATTAACTTCACTTGTGAATTAACATGTAAATAATTATTGCACGCGCGCACACACACACACATACATATATATATACATATATATACATATATATATACATATATATAAGAAATATAACATTGTTGTTCAAATACATAGTTGTACACTATGTAATTATGATAGTACCCTTGTAGAAGAAATGCTAGTTAGTGGGGTTAGTTGGTCGATTAGCACAGTAGGAGTGAGGTCAATTAGTAGATTATTTTAGATTGAAATTATATATATGTGCATGCATTGTACATTTGCACATAGAACAGAAAAATAAAATTGCAAAATACCTTTCTCTGCGATTGCCTCTCTCTTTCTCTCTTAGCTGTCAATTTCTTCCTCTTCTCCTTGCTCGAGATTCCATCTCATCAATGGCTTCCACAATATTCATTTCAACATGGTATCAGAGCTAGGCTCACAACGATCGGTGGCAGCAATCTCGTAGGAAGCTCGGATCTGATATTTCTCTTATCTGATTCAGTTCCCCCAATTTCTCATTTGAATTTCTTCCACTGCTGAATTTTGTACCAAATTTTCACTAAAACCTAAAAATGGTGATTGATACACCTCAAAATACAACAGAAGCCTCACATGCAAGCTCTCAACAACTTGTTTGCAATGATCCCCTCTATGTGCATTCTTCTGATACGCCAGGTGTGGCACAAGTGCCACAATTGCTAAATGGAACAGAAAACTACTCTCAATGGAGTAGATCGATGAAGATGTCGCTGCTTGTGAAGAACGAAATTGGATTTATAGATGGATCGTGTGCTAGAGAGACTTATGTGGTTGATAGCCTTTGATTGCACCAGTGGGAAAGGTGCAATGCCATTGTCCAATCATGGATAATGAGCTCTGTAGCGCAGGAGTTAAGGAAAGGAATCGTGTATTCTTCCAATGCACAAAAGGTATGGGAAGCTTTCAAGAAGCGCTTTGATAAGGTAAATGCAACAAAAATCTATCATATGAACAGAGAAATAAGTAGTCTAACGCAGGAAATCTCCAATGTGTCGATATATTACTCGAAGTTGAATGATCTGTGGGCTGAATTCGAGTCAATTGCACTATTTTCTGTTTGTGATTGTGTGAGATCTAGGTTGTTTGTCGATTTCCTACGCCAACAGAAGTTGATGAAATTTTTGATGGGTTTAAATGACACATATGCACCTCAAAAGAGCCAAATTTTAGTGATGAGTCCCACTCTCACACCTGATCAAGCATACTCTATGATCATACAGGAAGAAAGCCAGAGGATGATTGGGACTTCAATGTTACAGAGTGGTATTCTGGGGAGTGGACCTATAAAAGGTGTCAGTAGTGCCTTAGCTGCAGCTAAGGCAACCAATATAAGACCTAAGCGAAACACTAATCTTTACTATGACTATTGTCACATGAAGAGCTATAAGAAGGAAAATTGCTATAAGCTAATTGGATACCCCTCCAATTCTAGGTTTGACAATAGAAGAAGAGGTTGATTTGAGAACCAGAACCAAACGCCTACAGCTCATAATGCGAGCATGACTGATAAAAGAGAGACGCAATTTGAAAACCTGAAAAATATAATATCACCAACAGTACCAGTGTTTACCTTAGAGCAGTATCAACAGATTCTAAAATTATAGAGTAAGTAGAATGAGCCAACTGAAATAGCAAACATGACAGGTATATCTAATACTACTCAAAATTATTGAATTGTTAACTCTAGAGCTTCAAATCACATGGCTTCATCTTTGAACATGTTGTTAAATCCTAAGATTGTACCAAATAACCAACCCAACTGTGTCCAATTACCTAATGAAAATAACACCAAAATCACTCACACTGGATCCTGCCCTATACTTCCTACACAAACTATACAAAATGTGTTATACGTGTTTGACTTAAGTATAATCTCCTATCTATTTCTAAGTACACCAGAGAATTGCAATATTTAGTTAACTTCTATCATGATTTCTACTTGTTTTAGGACCTTTTCAGTGGCATGGTAAAGGGGATTGGTGGACTCAGAGGTGGCATGTGTATCCTCAACCCATTCACACATGTTGCTGCTCTCTCTTCAAAATGTATGTCTTCTTCAGTTCAAAGATATTCTGATGGTTTGTGGCATCAAAGGCTAGGCCACGCCCCAGTTGCTGTTCTACAAAAAAAACTAACAATAAAAGATCATGTGTCTAAGTCAACCAATAATACTTTTCATGTATGTCCATTAGCCAAACAAGTTAGATTACCATTTCCTAGTAGTATAACCATGGCAACTTCTCCATTTAGTCTTGTTCATATGGATGTTTGGGGTCTATATAGGGTATCCACTTACAATGGCTTTAAATACTTCCTTACTCTTGTTGATGATTACTTCAGAATGACCCGGACATTTCTATTAAGATTGAAAGGTGATGTCTATGTTGTATTGCTTGGCTTTCTGCAGTTAATACACAATCAGTATTCTGCTTTTGTTAAAGTTTTCAGATTTGATAATGGGCATGAATATTTTAATTCTCTTTGTTCTATCATGTTTAGATCCAAAGGTGTAGTCCACCAAAGTAGTTTTGTTTACACCCCACAACAAAATGGGGTGGTGGAAAGAAAACACAAGTACATTTTTTAGATAAGAAGAGTATTAAGGCTTCAAGCTCATATACCATTAAGATTCTGGGGGGATTGTATCCTAACATCCACATACATCGTAAATAGATTACCTAGTCCAACATTAAAGGTCAATCACCTTATGAAGCATTTCATGGTTAGCCACCTAAGCTTTACCTATGAGAACCCTTGGATGCCTTTGTTATGTCATAAAGCCCAATTTCAAAATGATAAATTTACCCCTAAGTCCATTCCTGCAATCTTCATGGGGTACTCATCTACACAAAAAGGCTAGACTATATGATATTGAGTCATAGAAAATTTTTCCTCAGCAGAGATGTTGTCTTTCAAGAATATGTATTTCCCTTCAAACTTCCTAAAAGCCAGTTCCTTACAGCTCCAGATTTGAATTCCTCACCATCCAGACTTTCCTAACACTGTCTTACCTGATCAACCACCTGATCATTCATCTCAACAACCTGACCACTCACCTTAACAAGCTTCCATTTATGATACATCTCCCATATCCTCTTCATATGATCAATCTGTTGATTCTTCTTAATCACAATCTCTTACAGCTCATGTTGTTCCCTCTAACTCTATTTCTGCTTCTCCATCTCCACTTCAATCTAGTCCAGTCCCTATTAGAAAGTCAGGAAGAACTATCAAACCTTCTATTTGGTTAACAGACTATGTCCATCCACCCTTGCCTTCCACCTCCAATTGCATCAACTATCTTATTCATCACTGTGTCTCCTATGCACACCTGCCTCTACACTATCAATCTTTTCTTACCTCTTTCTCTACTGATTCCGAACCATCCACTTTCTCTCAAGCGACCAAAGATGATAGATGGGTTCAAGCAATGAAGCTTGAGATTAAGGCTCTAGAGGACAACCATACTTGGAAAGTGGTAAATCTACCTGCTGGGAAAGTTTCCATTAGATGCAAATGGGTGTATAAGATTAAGTACAATGCTGATGGATCAATGAAAAGATTTAAGGCAAGACTAGTTGCTAAAGGGTACACACAGCAGGAAGGCCTAAATTTCTATGATATATTTGCACCTGTAGCAAAGCTTACTACTGTTAGGACTGTTGTAGCTACTGTTGCACTAAAGCATTGGCCCATCTTCCAAATGGATATGCACAATGCATTCCTAAATGGGGATCTTGATGAGGAGGTCTACATGACATTACCCAGGGATTTGGTAGCCAGGGGGAGTCCAAAGTGTGCAGACTACTCAAATCCCTCTATTAGTTGAAATAAGCTTTTAGACAGTGGAATCTTAAACTCATACAAGCCCTCACAATTGTTGGTTTTCAACAAAGCAAACATGACTATTCTGTCAAAGACAAGTTTGTTCTATTGCTTATATATGTGGAAAACATCCTGATAGAGGGAATGATGAAACAGAAATCAACCAAGCTAAAGCATCTCTTCAACAGAACTTCAAACTAAAGGACCTAAGAGAGCTAAGATACTTCCTAGGTATTGAATTTGCTAGATCAAAGGAAGGAATACTGATGTCACAAAAGAAGTATGCACTTGAGATGATTTCAGAAACAGGCTTAGCAGGCTCAAAACCAAAAAACACACCAATGGATCAGAATCTGAAACTCACAAGTATGGAGTTTGATAGTTGGACCAATACAAGCAATCATGATGAGGCATTAGTAGATAGGGAAAGTTATCTGAGACTAATAGGGAAGCTATTATACCTCACAATTACCAGGCCAGACATTTTATATGCACTCCAATGCCTAAGTGAGTTTATGCATGCACCAAAAAAAATCACACTATGAAGCAGCATTGCATGTTGTAAAGTACATTAAGAAGCAGCCAAGTTTGGGATTACTTATGTCCAATAAAAGTGAAGAACAAGTAAATGCATTTTGTGATTCTGATTGGGCCTCATGTCATGTGTCAAGAAAATAAATGATAGGGTGTTGTATTAAGCTGGGAGATTCACTCATTTCCTGGAAGGCTAATAAGCATAGCACTATCTCAAGAAGCTCTGCAGAAGCAGAGTACATGAGTATGGCAAGTACAGTAGCCGAGCTAGTTTGGTTGAAGGGACTGCTGAAGGAATTGCAAGTGAATCTAAGGTTGCCTATGGAGTTGCACTGTGACAACAAGGTTGCATTACAAATTACAGCCAAACCCATGTATCATGAGAGAACAAAATATAGAGAGATAGATTGTCACTTTATTAGGGAAAAAATTCAGTAAGGTATCATTAGAACATCTCATATTGCTACTCAATGTCAACCTGAAGATGTTCTGACAAAAGCATTGAGGCATCAGCAGTACATGTTTCTTTTATCCAAGTTGGGAATGAAAAATATTTTTCATTCACGACTTGAGGGGGAGTATTGAAATACATAGTTGTACACCATGTAATTATGATAGTACCCTTCTAGAAGAAATGTTAGTTAGTGGGGTTAGTTAGTCGGTTAGCACAATAGGAGTAAGGTCGGTTAGTGAATTGTTTTAGATTGAAATATATATATATATATATATATATATATATATATATATATATATGTATGTATATATGTATTGTACATTTGCACATAGAACAAAAAATCAAAATTGCAAAATATCTCTCTCTTCGACTGCCTCTCTCTTTCTCTCTTAGATGTCAATTTCTTCTTCTTCTTCTTGCTCGAGCTTCTATCTCATTAATGGCTGCCACAATGTTCATTTCAACAATTATTATACATGATATACAGAGAAGAGCATGGGTTCACGTACCCCATACTCCAATACATAGATACACAACTTCATTATGATGGCCAACTTTTCTTTGAAACTGATTTTTCTGTTATGTTATAATATATATTTTCCATAACAGCACTTTGTTATAACAGCCAAAAATATCTGAAATAAACGACACTGTTATAGAAAGATTTGACCGTGTAGCTTCAGTATTGCGTACGTTCGCCTAAAGTTGTGAACATTATAGCTGATCGCTATAGTTTCTCTACCCCTACTATACCCCTGCCCCCACACCAGCAAAATATAAATACTAATTTTTCACATATTTTAACCCAAAAACATTTCAAATAGATAGAGCCTTGTACGGGGAAGGAGATTATTGAATTTCCTTCAGTCCAAACCATTAAGGTGAATTAAAAATGAGTTCCTTGATCTCTATATATCACATCAAAACATGATTCTTACCATGGTTTCTTAGATATTCCATAAAATAATCCGATGCTCAAGAGATTGTTAAGATAAGAAATTTTTACCCAAATAGTCAGTCAGATTCACTGTTTACATTTTTTAATCTGTATATATAAATTATACATTAATTATACACATATTATACATGAATTATACAAATATTATATATTCACCGGTTATATTTAGTTTAAACGATTTGGTGGGCAGCTATTGAGATAATATAAGGAGTTGTGCGATTATTAGAAGGGGGAATAATTGGAAAAAGACGTAGGACACGTTTTCTGTTTGTTTTTCAAGTTTGAACTTTGAATATCAGCATAAAAGTCAAACGACCAAAATATAAAGATAAGATAGTGGCCCTAATCGTGGAAATATTGTAGTACAAGTTTTCTTTTTAATATATTATAGTACAAGTTTGGTTATTTGGTATACGCAATCTTATGCTTTTGTTAGTATTTTATTTGAAAAAATTGACCATTTCTCGGTTTCGTGCATCATTTCTGTTTCCTGGGATCTTCCCGTATTGAAAATTCAAATATAAGTAGTTGACAATTTGGAGAGATATATTAAGGCATACCCGATGTCCCGATTCTAAGTTGTATAATTGTAATATTATACTATTACATATCAAGAATATATGTAGTTATAATTTTCGATTCTATCATTTGAGTTGACCTTGTGTATATCACAAGTAGGGGTGTTCATAAAAATCCGAAAACTCGAACCAAACCAAACCGATCAAAAAAACTGATACTTTTTGGTCTGGTTTGGTTTTGGTTTTGAAATTTAAAAACCGATCAAATTTGGTTTGGTTTTGGTTTTAATTAAAAAAACCGAACCAAATCGAATATAGGAGTAGCTATTTTAAATTTATTATTATACTATATATATGTATACTTTTATACAAAGTTTTAAAAATTTTATAGTAAATATTAATCGTTTGCACTTTTAGTATAATTCTTTACCTTTACATTCTAGTTTAATTGGTAGTTTGTTTTTGTTAAGTGTAAGAATCTATTTCATGTTAAAAATAATATATTTTTAACTGAGTCCTTAAATTATTCATCACTATTTGATTCTATTATCATTAATATATCTTGGTAAATAATAGATTTCTCAAAGGGCAATTGATTTGATACTTTACGTTGAAAATGTGGTCGCCGAAATGTGTGTTTGGTAGTGTATGTCTTATATTTAAGAAAAAACCGACAAATAACCAAAAAATCAAAAAACAGACATAAACCGAATCGAGAAAAACCCGACTTAATTGGTTTTGTTTGGTTCTAATATTTGAAAAACCGACTTACTTGGTTTGGTTTCTTTTTAGGAAAAAATCGATCCAAACCGAACTATGAACACCCCTAATCACAAGTTTGGCGACGTCGTTTTGTAGGATGTATTAGGAAAAATTATACATATATTAGTTTTGATATTGTTAGTCCCTTGTTTAGTAGTTATATACCTTATTCAGTGCTATTCTATAAATAGCAAACCATGATATTAGCAATATAATACCATAACTTTTAGTACGTAAATAAGCATGTATAAAGATAGAACTACCTTTTCAAAACCGTTAATACAACAAACCAAATAGTCGATAAGAAATAATCTCAGCATGACGAATCATAATATAACTAATCTCAACATTACCAATATATACTATTTAGTACTATTCTTATATATCCTACCAAACGACCCCTAAGGATTAAAGGCCTTTGTCTAGGCTTAACAGAAGCACACTTTTATGATTAAAAATCTTGACATACGATAGTATCATGTATATATATAATTTGCTTATACAATGTCGTTTCTTTTTTTCTTTTTCTTTTTTAAAAAAAAATCTACACGGCATTATGTAAACATTCAACAATTATACATTTTGTTAAGTGAATTCGTACAACAAGAACAACAAATACAAAGAAAGTAATACACCGACTTGGTTATAGTCTTATAGACAACTCATCAAGCTTATCTTCAACATTAAATTAGTTTACTATGGTTGCTTAAACAAACAAATATCCCATGTAATATAGACACAAACTCTCCTATAAATATCCCCAGAAAACCAAATGAATTTGACACATAAAACCAAGGAAAATTAGATAAAATTAAAGACAATGGTGAAGTTAGCTCTCGTGGTTATTTTCTTGCTTCTTGCATCACGTTAGCCCTTATTTCCCTCTCTCATTAATTCCCATATTTATTTTTAAGTACTTTTTTCACATTTATTTCTATTTATTATTCAAACAAAAAAGATTAATGTAAATTATTGTATGAACAGTTTTTCAACCTCTCACGGCTCAGTCCAGTTGCCCAGGTTTGGTTTTTACTCTTCATCTCCTACTTCTTAATTCCTATATATATTACCTAATCTTTTGTTCATAATTTTTTCGATTCTTTTTTCCATTATATATTCTCTCTTATTATATGTATAAATTATAGGAAACAAAAAGGAGACATGGCCAGAACTTATTGGTGTACCAGCTAAGTTTGCAAGGGAAATAATTCAGAAGGAAAATTCAAAACTAACTAATGTTCCAAGTGTACTGAATGGTTCTCCAGTGACAAAAGATTTTAGATGTGAACGAGTTCGTCTTTTTGTTAATGTGTTGGACTTTGTTGTACAAATTCCCCGAGTTGGTTAGGGGGGAAAGGAAAGAAAATTTAGTGTTTAAGTATATTACTAGCCCAAGAAAATAAATTGGAGCCGTATAGTTAATTCTCCAATCTCCATATGTAATCAAAATTGTTTGGTGATAAAATAAGTGTGGCTTTTAATTTTAGTGTTAGTTTGTCATCGTGTCCCTTCCGTTTATGGTATTAATAATCACTACTCTCTTTGCCTCAAATTATTAGTCGTGATTTTTAAAAACTAATGTCTCAAATTATTTATCATTTTAAAAAATTCAATACATAATTAATTATTTTTTCTTATGTTATCGTTAGTAGTAATTGTTGTTGAAGATGGAGATAGTACATAAATAAAATAAATATTCATTGAAGAGAAATCATATTTTAAGACATAATAAAATAGTCAAAAATCTCTCCTAATTAAGGTTTTCTTAAAGGTGTGTAATAGAAAAATGCGATAAATAATTTAGGACAGAGAGTACATCTTCTTCCACGTTGGCACCTTCACTGCTCAATATCTTGATGACCATTAAAACATAGCTCCAACTCGAACATCCAAACAAGTTGCAAATAGTTACTCTTTCCGTTTCAATTAATATGACATAGTTTTATTCGGTACGGAAAAATATTTAAACTTGTGATTTTAAAAGCTTAAAGGGTACAAGCTTTATGGGACCGTGTCGATATAAAAGTTTCTCATTAAAAAGAAGTTTGACGTAATCAGATCCAAGAACTGCATTGTGCGTATCCAGTAATAGTTTGGCCCAACTAGCCTATTTACACAACAACAACAAAAAGCCAAATGTATGCAGACCTTACCTCTATCTTATGGAGGTAAAGAGGCATTTTCTGAAAGACCCTCGGCTCAAGAACCAATTAACCTAAGTGCATAAGCAAACCTCAATGACAAAGAGCTCTAAATAAACAGATCCCCAGCATAAAGCTGCTATAATGTTGCTTACCATGAGGTATTTCAGTATAAGTACTATAAGTCATCGGTCAACCAACAGGTTTTCTACAAGGCCGCAAGGATTCAAGCTGCTGAACAAAACTCGGTTTTAACAACCCTCTGTAAACTGCAGACTAGAGGTGTCAAACGGGCCGGATTGATCCGGGACCGGCCCGGTACTTAGGGGGCGGGTGGGCTAGGTTACTGGGTTAGGGGTTGGTTCGTTCACTGTAATTCATCTGGTTAACCGGACCAGTCAAACCCGATCAACCAAAATCCCTATAGAACCGGTTAACCGGCCCGGACCGCACCGGTTTAAAGGCTAGATTTCAATTTTTTTTTTTTTTTTTAAGGTTTTAGAGTCTAAGGCAATGCAAAACCTTTGAATTTACTCTTTTTTCGTTAATTTACTTGTTGTTAAATGTAAACCTTTCAATTTGTAAGTTTGAATTTTGAAATAAATGTAGCACTTGCAATTTATAAGTGCAATTTTTTTTCCATCTTCATTGTATTCTTTATAATTTTACTTTGTATTAATATAAATTACAATAGTTATACAAAATACAAAATACAAACAAAAAAAAACACTAACCCAGCCCGGCCCCTTGGACTCGTAACCCTTACGGTTCATTTTTTACCCGGATGAACCCGAACCCGGTAACCCCTAACCCGTAACCGGCCCGGTTCGAAACCCGGACGGTTTCAGCTTTTCCCTACCCAGCCCGACCCGGCCCGCCCGTTAGACACCCTTAATATATCCACTATCTATAGTGGAAACGACAATACAACGACGACAACAACAATCGAGTATAATCTCACAAGTGGGAGTCGGGGGAAGGTAGTATGTACGCAGACCTTACCCCTACCCTAAGGGGTAGAGAGGTGATTTCCGATAAACCCTTGACTCAAGAAGATGAAAAGAGACAATAGAACACTAACCGGGGCTAGAAAGATAGTACCAGCGACCTAAGAACCAGAAAAATAGATGGATAAAGCAATATCAATAACCAGTAACAATGGCAAGGTACTAAGAAACCGGAGCTGGAAAATAGTATGAGCACAACATGGAAACGACAATACAATAAAGACAAAAATCTCTAAAAGCTAACTTTTATACATGCTCTGCTTCAAGGAAAAAAAGAAATCTAAACAATCAACAAAAGGTATGGTACATTTTGAAACTTTGTACCTGATCCCATTCATAGTTTAGGCCCTATTAACCTACTTGCATAAGAAAAATTCCATGAAAATGAGCTCTAAAAAAACCGATAAAGCTGCGTCCATAATGTAGAGCAGGGCATACCATGAGGTAGTCCCAACTTAAATCAACAATCAACCAACAGTTTCTAATCAAAATTGGCTGAAGAGAAAACGAAAAAGGTCAAAAGGTGTGAGGATGGGAACTAGGAATTACAAATTTCTAAAAGACCAAACCCAATTATTTTTGCCTATCATACTTACAAGCTGCTTGGACACTCTTCTCATCTTGGTCGCTGTTCGCCATACAATTAGTTGGTTAATCTCACTGCAGTTTACGCAATACGATGAGCAAACAAATCTGAAGATCAATAAATGGCTTCTGACATTTGTAAAAAGGAGCCCCATTTAGTTGAATCCTCCATTTTGCAACCCCCCACCCACCCACAAACCACAACGAACACAATCTGATAACTGTTAGGTCATTGCTTGTAACTTGGAACTGACAACCTTTCCTGATATTGGTGGCTTATCCTTCAAGCTTGTACTTAATAAAGACTCCGAGTTGCTTGTTTGGGTTTCACCAAACTCTGGTCTCACCCAAACCTTTATATGCCCCTCGCGGCAGATAGTAAGGACTGATTCCTGAGTGAATATCAAGCCAGAGAGTGGTTCGGTGTGAACACGATGAGTGACCAGGGGCGATAGCTTTGGAATATCTCGCATGCTTGGAGCAGGTTGAAGAGTACCAACAGGGCAAGCCCTATCCCAATGAGATGACTGACTCCCGGTGCTGAAAGTTGGTGATCCACCATGAGGACGACGCATTGGTACTACAATTTCATCCATTTCCAGATCCCATAAGAGCAATNGGGGGGGACTGTACCTGACCAACAGAACCAAAACGGTAGACAACATTTTCATCTGTGCCATCTGAATTTGGTGCTGACCAATGTGAATCAAATGCCACACCACTGACCTGCCGAGACACAAGTTAAAGAGATTAAGGCATGAATGCTACACAAAAATCAAGGTGAGTTAATAACAGCTCAAAACTCACCCACGAGCTATGCCCCTCACCCCATGCAACAACTTTACGTTCGTCCATGCTCCAAACCTGAACTAGGTCATCTTCTCCACCAGCTAAAATGTACTTTCCGTCCATGCTGTTGGTTCATGTACTCTCAGTATAGATATTCTCTAGCCAAAACATTAAAAACAACATACTTCGTTTGTTTGTGGGCATCTGCGGGAGTGGGGGAAGGAAAGAGGGGGGACAAAATTTGTGCTACAAGGCAAAAATGACTTCAAGTTACTAATATGTCATGAACAGAAAACCATAAATTCATACCTCCAAGCACAACACAGTAGAGCACCATAATAGCTCTTTCCACCATATATAAGCTGTTCATTTTTGTAATCAAATATACGCAGATAACCTGCATTAGGTCAATCATACTCAGATAAATGCCTGATTGACATGTCATTCATAAGAAGGGTAAACAACCACAACAAAAGAATTAATAGCTCAACAAGTCATCTCATGAAGAAAATACCATCCCTCCCTACAGTTGCAATATACGCCCCATCAGTCGAGAAAGCAACGCTATTGATGGACCCTTGGCAAATATGCCATCTAGCTATAGGATTCTGCATATAAAAGCCAAATGAAACATGTAAAAGGTAGAACTTAAAACAGTTAAATACTCTACGGCAGCAAGAAAGAAATTTGACAACCATTTTTCAGTCTTAACACAATCAGTTAGGAGATAAAATAAAATGACACAACGAATGGCTAATAAACTAACTCAAACATTTGTTTAATTTTGGTATAGAAAAGCAGAATAAATGTTCTTTTTCCTAGATAGAATAGATATGGAACGTGCTTGTTAACATATAAGGAAAAAAAGCTATTCCTATTTTTGGAAAGATGAAACTGTAACAATGTTTATGTTTTCAGTGAACAGCAAAAACTTGATTCTTTAGGGATCGTTTGGTTCACAGACTAGTTACGCAGGGACCGTTTAGCGGTGAATAATAATATCGAGATCGCTATACAGCATATAGTAATGCAGGAATGTTATGCAGTAAGCAATAATGCAGGCATTGTTGTGCGGGGATTGCCTTCTTTATGAGCGGTTTCATCTTTAGGTATTGTTATCTATGTATTGCTAATACACGTATTATTATTCCGCATCCTTCCTCGAAAATAGTACATAAATTCCCACGTAGCATATACGGATTTTTTTATGAAGTAAGAAGATTCATTAATGGCATCAAGAAGATGCAAAAAGCACAAAAGTAACTAAGCAGCTCCAATACATGGCGTAACGTATACGGGTATATAAGGAATCAAGTAAACGTGCATTAGCTATACAAAGTTTAATACCATAAAATGCCCTCTGGTTTGTGCCCACAATCACTTTGAAACTAGGCAAAAAATTTCGCTGCACTTTTGGAACAAAAGCCACAGCATGGTGGTGTTGTAACGGACACTAACTCTTCTTGTTCACAGAGGAGAACCTGAAGCACCAATTAGGAAATGGGGCCCATAGTGATTGGCCAAGTTTATGGAAAGTCAACCGAAACATTCCACTTACTAATTGGGTCTAAACCTGTGGTGCATAGCGGTTGTTCATCTCTTTTCTTGAAGAAGATGATACAAATATCTCCCTCCAAAGTGAATGAGATACAAAATCCAAACCAAATAAATAGGAACCAACAACATAAGAATGTGCGCTTAAGACACATGGAACAATATCTCTTCTGTTTATCTTAATGGTCCTTGGAAATCAGGGCAGGTCTCAAACATGATTTCTTTTTTTGTTTTTTCCTAACTAAAAAAACAAAAAGATGTCTTTGCTTACAAATCAGACCATAAGGATATAGAATTCTGTTAACGAAGCAAGTAAACAACCTAATCCCTAACAATTTTCATATGCATCGAGCATGGGCCTTACGCAATGCTTGTAATGAAGTTCATGGGCCAAGATCATCTAATATGTTACATTTTGCTGGTGTGCAATTTTGTGGAAATGCTAAGCAATCGTTACATAATAGATGATAACCTAAAAAGTGATTATAAATCCACTCAAATAACAGTAAAATCATTAAGCTAAAAACTATTACCTGCAGACTGCAGCTATGTTGTGCGGGCTCTCTGTCTCTCCAACAATGATGCTGCACCCGTCCCGGATCCTCCAAAGAAGCACTATATTTGGAGGATCCGAGACGCACCCAGAGACATTTTTGGAGAGTTCAGACAACATAGGACTGCAGTGCAAAAATTAGAACTTTTTTCCTTCATTGCACAGTCTGGCAATATTAACTTTATTAGAATATGCTGGATTTCAAAGAAATACACCACAATCTCAACCATCTAGCAGTGTAGTTAAAGGCACATTTGGCTCATTTAAAGCATGTTTAACTCCTGAATCTAGGTGAAGTCTTGCTTAGGTGGTGTGTTAGTAAAACCACCAAGACACTAAGACATATGCCTCATCACTAGGACCTTGATGTTTAAGAGCAAAAAACGAGACACTAAATATATTTAGCAAAGAGATATACTAATTGTTGACAAAACATTATGAATGAAATTTATAGTTGATCAGGAAAATGAACTTGGGGTCAGCTCAACCTCAACAGCTAGCTCATGAGATAAGGACCGCCCAACACCATATAATGAGACTATATGTCATTCCCTCAACCATGTGGAACTTTAACCTCCAATTTCCCCGCACGCCCAGGGCTAGACATCTTAAGCATGGACTATGTAATATGGGAGGCCCTAACATTGGGCATACCAAGAACAGAGATAGGTTTGGCTCTAATCAAACATTTAAATAATAGACCTTGGGCTTAACTCCAGCCCAAAAGCTATCACGGGGTGAGGATTGTCTAACACCATAAAAAGAGACAATAAGACATTCTCGTAACCAATGTGGGACACACTTAAGAATAATGATTAGGAATAAGAAGTTAAAGAATTAGTATAAAAACTTTAACTTGTATAGCGCCTAAATCGAAAATTTTAAATCACTTTTTGAATTTGACTGACATGATGTTCATTTCCTATTCTTAATTCTAGTTTTCTTCTATTCTTTTGTCCAAACACTTTATGTTATACTTATAGTTGATTTTCTATAATAGCTTCAACGTACTGACAACAGACAAGCAGTTCACTGAATATTTGCCTTTACTCCACCTTCTTTATCTGACAGAAGGAACATGCTTGTGCTTTCTGATAGCTATTCTAGAAATGTTAGAATGTTCTTCTTATTAGAAAAGCAGGAATATATGAACCAAGAAATTTGCAAACGGTTGATTCACTCAGTACAGATAAACACGGACACAACATCAAATGCTGAGGAAAGGAACTATATACACAAGCAAAATACCTTACTATAACGTGCATGGGCAACTGAAAAATGAGTTTGATCTTTGATGACTGGAAATGAAGGATCGGCAGAACCATCTTTGCTCTGTAGTAAGAAAACATAATTGCACATATATCTAAGAAAAGTCGGGAATCTAAGGATCATTGAAAAGGGCCAGGAAATTGGCAGCACTCCCCATCAGTTTCAACACTTACCTTATCATAGACGTAAAAATTTCCATCCGCATGAGCAACAATGAAAGCCCCATCACTGTTAGGCACCCATGCGATACTAGTACATCGACTGTTGAAAGGCAAAGTAAAATATTAAATCTGCTCCATGATTATAGGCACCCATGAAATAATAGTACATTGACAGATTGACTATCGAAACAAAGGAAAATATTAAACTGATGTCAAAGGATGCTCATGGCGATACAAAACCCATAAGTTAATTGTCTTTTGAAACATCCTACGATGCAGGAAGCACTATGACTATTTAGGAAGTGGGTGGGAGGAATGGAAGGAGATAATGTTCCAAAGTATAACAGCCATACTGTTCATGACGCTAATATCAGGACTCCATTTGTATTTGGGCTGCCAGGGGAGCTTCAAGTTGTTAACCTTTGCGAGATTTCAAAAAACTGAAAATTCTAATATAGTTGTCTTTTCATCCTCATATTCCTCAGCTAGTTTGGAATGAGGTGTAGTTAATTGATTGATTGTTTTCATTTTCATACTACAAAAACTCTCCTAGATCTCTTTCTTTTCCCTTGGCACGCACCACAGAAGAGGGTACAGCAGAGAGGTCAAAAAATTTTGGATATCCATAAGAGAACTTTAGATTGCGATACATTTATCAGACAGTGGAATTCGCTTCTCAGGTTACTGACTATTACTTCTTAGAAATATTATTTATGAAACTTGACATAAAGTTTTCTCAAACATGGCATGGAGTTCTTCAGAGAAGTTTAATCATGAATGGGGTTGTTAAATGTAATCCAAAAGGCAATGCATTCTCTGGATTATATTCCAAGAATAATGATTAGTATCTAATGAGTAATGACTGACCTAAATAAAAGTGGGAAATAGCCACCTCAACTGCATTCACCATCCAATTAAATGTATACTATAAGCAAGTAAAGATTGCGCAAATAACCAAAGAAGGCTTCCATTTACAACCAACCAAAAAAATAAGCAACTAAGAATTTAAGATTCAAGCGTTATTAGTAGGAAAAACTTGCCACTCTAATAGTACTCAAAGAAAATGCTAGAAAACATGCAGTTATACTAGCTATAAAAGCATACATGACACAACTATGACTATTCATCTATTTAACAATAACTCAAAAATAGGATTCAAGCGCAGACCATTAACATTATTCCAAAAAAGACAAGATAAAATAAGGAAAAGCATTACAATTCCCAAATAATATTTATAAGAATAACAAAAGAAAAGTTGAGTTGAGAGCCCTGCCTGTTATTAACAGAACCATCCTTGTTGTAATGCTGTGCCCCAACAAGCTTCTTCCCAACATCTTGCAATTGCTGTCGTAGAGATACCGAATAAACTGCAAGGCAGACATCGTAGGTAAAGGGTGGAGTGGAAGATTGCAATTATACATCATGTATGGAGAAGTTTACCGTCTCCCGAACTCAACCCAATGAGCAAATCATGTCCATCCTTTGCATCCGGATCAAATGCATGGCAAACGGGATTTGAGTTACTAAAGTGTATTGACTTTATAGGATCCTATATTTCACAATGAACCTCTCAGATTCATATATTCATTTCTTTCCACCTTAGAGAATAAATATAGCTGACAACCATACCTTATCTCGGGAATTCAAATCACTAATAAAAATCGTGTCACCAACATTGAATACCAAATAAGTCCCTTTGCCATCAAAATTGGGAACACTGACATTGTTATTTGAACTTGTCACCCCAAATGATCCAGCTCTACCACTCATGCCACTGACAGACTTACTTCCACCATTTCCTCCGACAAAACTATGTGACTTACTACCATTTCCACCACCTAAGAGTCTCGCTGCTGCCGACCTAACACCACTGCTGACTCCAAAACTTGATGTCGACTGAGGCTGTGACTGCATGGGCTTATCTTTGAGATGAGCTACGGTTACCTGAAAATCAAAATCATTTCAAGACTTCAAATGCTGGACTAATATTTGTTTTATTTTGACAATGTAAAAAAGGATGACTAAGCATTATCTAGTAATTAAGGCTTATCTAGCTGGTATCAGAGTGTAAAGAACAGCAACTCTGCTGATAAATTTCATTAGCTAAACAAGTTTCCTTCAGCCATTTATTGAAGAAAACTCTTCAAGCAAACAAGCTCGAAATAAACTGGACCCAAAATGTTTGAAATTGGAGGCACGTGGCCTGAAATAAGCGTAAGCATCGAAACCAAAAACCTCAAATGATCTCTACAGTGGGTTGTCAAACTGGAGCGCAAACAAATATTTAATAACGGCATAAACTGAGACAATAATTTGCTCACAAGTTCCCAATTAAAAAAGGACAGCCCGGTGCACTAAGCTCCCGCAAGGACCGGACCACAAGGGTCTATTGTACACAGTCTTACGGCATTTACTTTACCGGTTACGCCAAGGCTCACAAGTTCCCAATTAACTCCAAAAAACAACAAGGTAGCACAAAAAAATTAACTTTTCACATAATGATGACTTATTAAACCCCAAAATCTTTAAAATGAATCATGTTATCCAAACCCATTCCAGATTCCACTCAAAAAACCAATTTTACAAAAAGGGTCAATCTCAAAATCTAATCTTGAGCATTATATAAACCACTACTATTTTAAAGTAACATAATTGGACAAAATTAAATTAAAAAGCGAAGAACCCTAGATAGTATAAAGTTTAATGCTTTACCTGAGTTCCTATCTTGGTAGAATGATAACATACTAAACCCAAAAAAAAAACATAAAATAAACCACATTAGCCAAACCCATTCCAGATTCCACTCAAAAGATCAATTTACAAAGAGGGTCAATCTCAAAATCTAATCTTGAGCATCACATAAGACACTACTATTTTAAAATAGCATAAACTGTGAAAACAATTTGCTCACAAGTCCTCAATTAACTCCAAAAACAACAATATAGGCACAAAAAAGTAACTTTTTGGCAGAATGAGAACGTATTAAACCCAAAAATCATAAAATTAACCATATTAGCCAAACACATTCCAGATTCCACTCAAAAAACCAATTTTAAAAGAAGGGTCAATCTCAAAATCTAATCTTGAGCATCATATAAAACACGACTATTTTAAAATTAAAAAAAAAAAAGTAAGAACCCTAGAAAGTGTAAAGAATTAATGGGTTTTACCTGAGTTACAGTCTTGCCATGTGAAAAATGAAGAAGACCAGCAGGGTAAGTTTTTTCATACTGAAGTTTGTATTTTCCTTCTGGGGTTTTGAAATAAGTCTTTAAACCAGGAGATTGTACGCTGTTGTTCGCTGATGCTGAAGAAGGAGACATCATATTATTACTACCCGCCGTGTTGATCATTTCTTGAAAATACCAATCTAAAAATCACTCCTTTATAGGGTTATAGGTGCAATTTTTAGATCATTTTTTGCTATTGGATTTTTTGTGACCCTTTTCTTTGTGTTGTTAATCAATTCTGGCTGTTAATTGTTTAAAGGACTATATATATAGTGGAGTGCATAACTTTGAAAAAGGTGAAGATTTTGACTTTTTGGGGGAGTTTTGGGAGCTTTTGGTTGAAGGAATGGACGGTTGGAACAAGTCTTAATAGTTTTTCTTCTTCTTCTTCTCTGCTTTCTCTTTTTCTATTTTGCTGTGTATTTTAGAGTTTGAGAATTTGTGGGCGTCGAGATTCACTCGGATTAAGCGAAAGAGTGTTTTGTGCCTATTTTGTAGGGGTGTTCATATAAATTCGTAAAACCGAACCAAACTTAAAATCAAACCAAATCGATAAAAAAAATCAATATTTTTTGGTTTGATTTGGTTTTGACTTTAAATTTTAAAAACCGATCAAATTTGGTTTGGTTTTGGTTTTAATCAAAAAATAACCGAAAAAAGCCGAATCAAACCGACTATATGAGTAGCTATTTCAAATTTATTATTACACCTATATATATGTATATTTATATACAAAATTTCAAAAAAAATTATGGTTAATATTAATCATTTGCACTTTTAGTACCGTTCTTTACCTTTATATTCTAGTTTGATTGGTAGTTTTCTTTTGTTAAGTGTAAGAATCCATTTCATGTTAAAAAATATATTTTTTAATTGAGTCCTTAAATTATTTATCACTATTTGATTCAATTATCATCAATATATTTTAGTAAATAATAGATTTCTCAAAGGGCAATTGATTTGATAGTGTTACGTTGAAAATGTAGTCGCCGAAATATGTGTTTGATAGTGTATGTCTTATATTTAAGAAAAATCAACAAATAACCGAAAAAACCGAAAAACCGACAAAACCCGACATAAACCATATCGAGAAAAAACCGACTTAATTGGTTTGGTTTGGTTCTAATATTTGAAAAACCGACTTACTTGGTTTGGTTTCTTTTTATGGAAAAACCGATCCAAACCAAACCATGAACACCCCTACTATTTTGACCTTTTGGTCATTAGGAGTAGGGGGCATATATCAGGTAAAACCGATAACCCGAATCGTTAATTATTTTATTGGGTTATCGGTATTGGATTATTGGGTTAACGGTTCGGTAACGAGTTAAAAAAATTTTATTGGGTTATCGGTTTGGACTCGGTTTGATAATTTTGTTATTGGGTAAAACCGATAACCCAATAAGGATTAACTAATTTACTAGTTTACCCTTAAGTATATACATACTAGGTTTCATAATTCATAGTTCACTCTTTGATTTCCCTAATTCTTTCTTAGTTTCTCCGCCTCACGCCCTCACCAGTCAGCCCGTCAAGACTCAGGCCGGCATCAATCGCATTTCTCAGCTTCTTTCTTTCACTCTTCAGTCACATCTTCACTTCATTTCTCAGATCCATCAGATTCTTCAGTCGCATCTTCACTTCACTCTTCAGTCGCATTTCTCAGCCGCATTCTTCAGCTTCATTTTGATTCTTCGTGTAAGTTTTTGGTTGTTTCATCTTCATTTTTTTCTTAGTTTGTTTGAAAACATTCTGCCTCTGGATTTTTCTTAGTTTGTTTGAAAACTAAAGTGAGATTTGTCATGTGCTTTAATTGTTGAGCTGTTACAAAAAGTTATCTTATGTCAGTTGTTATAAAATAATTATTTCATAACTAATAAATTTTATAATCTATATACATAATTCTGTACTAGAGTAAAAAAGTAGATATCAATATACAAAGAGTTACTGCTAGTCGTTTGAACAAAGAAGATCTTAAGAACACTTATTTTACCGCAACTATTTTATACATTGCAAATCTTATAAAACTGTTTTAGCAAAAAAGTTTTACACCGAAACTGTTTTATACATTGAAACTGTTTTAGTTTTTTTGTCTTATCGGGTAAACTGATAACCGGACCGATAATGATCGATAACCGATTAACCGATAACCGATAACTAATATCTTGTCGGTTTAGTTATCGGGTTATGATATTTGTAAACCAATAACCGATAGGCAAAACCGATAATATTCATAGCCGAACCGAACCGACCGATGTTCACCCCTAATTGGGAGCTTCCATGGAAAAGCTAAAGAGAAAATGATAAAACTGATCCCTTATGTTTGGTTATTATAAATTTAAAATAGTCTCTTAAATATATATATTTTAAATTTGGTTTTTTATTTATTTAAAAACTCTAATTGTTAGATATAAAGGCATCTCCAACGGTATAACCAGTTTTCGGACTGGTCATTCAAAAATAGTCATCGTTTACGAAGTCAATAAAAAATAGCCACTATTTTGTTGCAACAAAGACCGGTCCAGTATAATATACTGGAGTTCGGTGCACCTGTATATGAACTCCAACATATTATGCTGGACCGGTATACTTTGCTGACTCCAGTATAATATACTGGAGACTGGAGCACCGGTGCTCCAAACTCCAGTATATTATACTGGACAATTATACTTGCTGGAACTCCAGTATATTATGTTGGAGTTCTAGTGTACTTATGCTGGAACTCCATCATATNTCCAGTATATTATACTTGACAATTATACTTGCTGGAACTCCAGTATATTATGTTGGAGTTCTAGTGTACTTATGCTGGAACTCCATCATATTATACTGGAGTTCCAGCATACTTATCCTGGAACTCCAGTATAATATGCTGGAGTTCAAGCATACTTATGCTGGAACTCCAATATAATATACTGGCGTATTTTCCGGGTTTTGAACAGTGTTTTCGCTCAGATTTATCTTTACATGAAAAATGGCTAAATTTCGATTACTTTTGAAACTGAGCTATTTTTGAACGACCAGTTATAAATCTGGCTATTTTTGAATTTCTCCCCATTTTTGATCCCCAAAATGGGGATTGGGGACAACTTACTCCAACCATTCCCCAATTTTTTTCCCCAAACTTTTTATATTCTTCTATCTCTTCTATATTCTATTATTATCTTTCATTCAATTTTATTTTTTAATTTCTATTAAAACAATTCCATAAAATTTTAAATAATATAATTTGTAAGCAATTATTATAGATTAACTAATAATTCAAATAAAAGTGAAATCATTGCGATACAAGATTAATTATATACATATTACATTACATAAACATAATTAGTGCACGAAAATTAATTTATCAAAATTATACACCAAAGTTAAGATGTAAAATTAATATTATAAGACATTACATAAACATAATTAGGTATATATAAAGAAATAAATTAAAAGATTAAATAATAAAAAAATAAAAAAGTGATGAATAGTAATAGAGGATATGAACAGTGTACCCTCATATTTGAGGCAACACTATTCATCCCCCATTTTGGGGACAAAAGTGAGGGAGAGTTGGAGTTAAATTACCTCAAAAATTATCCCCATTATGGGGAATGGGGGTAAGGTTGGAGATGGCCTAACAATTGGCAAAAACTATAAAAAGAATAATTTAAGTAGTACTCACATTTGAATGAGCTATTTTTTTATCCATTTTTGGTGTAAGCTTAATAGGCATATGTCATGACCCGGATTTCACCGTCTCGAGAGCAGTGATGGCGCCTACTGGTGAAAGCTAGACAAGCCAAATTATCCTAATTACTTAACCTTTTCCAGTTTTAAACCATTATCAGTGATGAGTAGATATCATGCAAATAGCGAAAATAATTAAGCGGAAGACAAAATCTGACAATTTATCTTAATACAAAACTGCGGAAGTCTAAATACAACTCTACCCAGAATTTGGTGTCACAGCTTCGCAGACGGTCTACGAATACTGCATACAAAGTCTGAAAGATAAAATAAACATTGTTTCTGAAGTGAGTAAAGGAAACAGGATAAAGGAAGAGATAGGAGGTGACGCCAAGGCCCGCATACGTCTGCAGGACTACCTCGTGTCGCCTGTGTGGGCTGAAGACAACACCCTCACTGCGGTCCAAGCACTCCGGTATCAGTATCTGCACACAGTGCAGAGTGTAATATCAGCACAACCGACCCCATGTGCTAGTAAGTGCCTAGCCTAACCTTGGTGAAGTAGTGACGAGGCTAGGACCAGACTACCAAATAAACCTGTGCAATATAGCGTACAAAAATAATAGGAAGCGGATAACAATGATGGCAACAATGATCAATCAGTGATATAAATAGCAGGCAACAAGAACATCATAAATGTTTCTCAACAAATAATAGATACAAGTGCAATCAATTTATAAAGTCCTTCAAATATAAATTTTTCGCCTATAAATCCTTCAAGTAATAATCTCTAAGATAATATGCTTTTCAATGAATATATTTCGAATATATTTCCTTTAAATAAATATCTTTCAAATAAGCATCTTTCGAATATAATTCTTTTGAGTAAAGGTCACCTTGTGACGCCTCATTCACTTAATATAAAGTAGAGTACAGCTTCCAACCCAATTAG